TCCGATCCCCCCAAAACCCCAAAACCCCGTTAGTGTAAATTTGACAGCAATTTATACTTTATGGTAAAAAATTGAAGATATAATATTGATTGATGATTAATCTTGTAACTTTGAGCAAATATCATTCGCTTAATTCAGTCTTATTTGAATTTTAGCTACTTTCTCACTCCATTTTTTAAGTTTCTATTTTACTATTTTGATCAGAGACAATTTAACTTTCTCCATTTTAAGATATGTAGTTGCTATAGTTAAGTACTCCTTTTAGTGGTTCTCTGAGCATGCTGTTTTATGTGCCCATATCAGTAATAGTGCTATTTTCATTTTTAATTTATTTCTTCTTTAGCTTTTCAGAGCCAGTATCAGTATCTGCCTAGTTAAGTTTTTACTTTTCAGAGTCATCTTGATGTAGTTAACTTCCTTTTTCAACCTTAGCTTCAAAGAAACTTGGAATGATTCTGAATAGGAAGTATAGAACTCCGAACAGAGCAGAAGAGCAAGCCATAATATCACAAGTATATTGGAATTGCAATTTCTCATTGAGATAACCTCCTAGAATTGGAGCTATAATACAGCCAATAGCGTAAGCTGTATTGAATAAGCCAGCTGCTTTATCATTTAATTCTGGATTATCCCCTTGGATATTTTCCTTTTCTCTAACTCCCTCAATAATTTCAGAAAGCAAAGGTACAAAGATTACTGAACAGGCAACACCAAGTAGAGCCAATCCTGCTGTTGACAAGGCAAGATTACTATATAAAGTTAATTATAGTCAAAGGCATACGTTCCAAATCCTAAAATTTTAGATGGGCCAAACATGAAGAGTGCAACTGTTGCTATGAAAAATGATGAACAGGTTACATATCTTCTTGCAATTACTCTAGTTAACAGTCCTATAAATGGAGAGGATAAAGCATAGGTAAGACAAATCAAGGCAAAGAAAAAACCTAAAAATTATTATTATTTCAACAACATTAGTTACCAATAGAGTTTTTGTTAACGCCTTGATCATAAATGAGATGGTCTGACAATATTGAATCGAAAAACAACATGAAAATCATTGAAAACATTGAAGAGACTGATGCCATCATTGCTCTTGGATTCCTCAGCATGAGCATGTATGTAATTTATAACTAATAAGTTAAATAACAATAAAGCTTACAGGCTTTCCGTCTACTAAGTTTCCATTTTCATCAAATGAATCAACCATTGATTGATTTTGAGACATATCAAATTGCATTTCATTAAGATGACCAGGAATGATGATGATAACGATGATCAAAGCTACTGTTAAAATTCCAGCAAAGCAATAAAATGTAGGAGCATATCCTACTCCTGAGTATATTAATTGTCCTAGAACTGGACCAAGCATTAGACCGAGTCCTACAGCAGCTTAGCAATATCCAATATAGACGTCCTTTTTAGTTGGGAACTCTATCGTGACTACTGAATATCCTATGAAAGTGTGATTTAGAATCAGGATCAGGAAATGTTATGATTTATGGTGAAATTGACCTACCTGCAGTGCTAACAAATGAATCACCTGCTCCTTAAATAAATCTAAATGCTATTCCAAGCCAGAAAAATGGACCACTTAAATGAATATTTAAAGGTAAAAGCTTACTCATTGTTATCAGGAATATATGCTAAGAGTCCGAAACCCACAGTAGCCATAATAATAAGTAAATAGCCAATTACTATACAATTTTTCCTACCTATTTTCCCTAGCTTTGCGCCAACTAGAGGAGCAGCTAATAGATAAGCCAATTGAAACATTCTAAAAAGTTTAAATCATTGAATTATAATGATTACGAAAGAATGATACCAACCTCTCCATCGTTAATAGATCCATGATGTTCTTTTCTGTATTATGGAAGAAAAGTTGATATATTGAGATATAGAGTCTAAGTCATAGACATAGTCAACAATAGTGCCATGAAAATTTTAGTCTTGTATGGTGATGATTCAAGATCGACATTAACTTGTAATTGATCACCCTCATTTGGCAAGAAATCTTTTTTGCTGACATCAGAGTAACGAGCTACAGGCTCTGCTCCAGCTTTTTCTAAATGCTTAGTCGTGGAGTAAACTCTCGGCTGATAGTAACTCATTTCTAATTAAATATTCTATTTATGAACTCATAATTTATAATTATCTCATCAAACTTAATTCTAAATCATTCATATATCTTAATTATTCTATTTATCACCATCATAGGGGGTTTTGGGGTTTTGGGGTTTTGGGGTTTTGGGGTTTTGGGG